TAACACTTTTATAAAAAAGTTCTCTTCTACTTTTTTCTGTATGTACCACTATAAATTAAATTTTCTGAATAGTGAACGGATGACCGTTACCTCCATACAGTCCCGTTATCATAAACGCATGCAATAATTTCTATGGGAATAAATAATCAACAAGTAACTCTCATATTTAAACAGATTAGGATAGTACCCGTGGGCGGAATTTAATTGCACTGTTAATTTAGTTTAGTAAATGTTTTACATCTACATTTCAATTAAATGTGTATATGTTAAAAACTTGATATCATTTGTTTATTGAAAATAAATTGGATATATGCAGTTTTGCTCGATTTTAAAATAGTTTGATAAAATTTGATTTATCATGGTAGATGAATTATTTAATTTTATAAAAAATTGCACGTAATGTAGAAAGGAAGTTAACTTATAGCAATGAGAAAACAATATTGTCCTCTCTTGTACCTTTGCATTGTTTTTGGTGAATCTCTTGTTCTTTGCATTCTCCTCACTTACCTCTCTATCTTTGATTTTTGCAAATAGTTTTTGTTGAAATCTTCATTATTTTTTAAGAAATCATAAAATTCAATAGAGATTTACAATGTCTTGTAATTTTTCATCCTTCTAATTCAAATAGACAAAAAAAAATCATGTTTACTGTCATTCTAATTTTCTCTACAAAACAAATACTTATCTTTACTTAAAATGGAGATTTACTGAATCATATGAATACTATCTACTAACATATTTGAAAATTTCAAATGTTTAGATTTATTTGATTAATCATCGGGTTAATATTAATCATAACTAACTAAATATTTGACACCCAAAAAATATGGTTATATTTGAATTTGTCAATCACGTTATATGTATCATAAATTTTGGAAATGTCTACCTAATTTTGTCTAGATAAAAGTATATTTTTGAATTATTTTTGCAACTCAGTTTTATTCACTTTATACTTCTAAGCATAATGTTCAGTTTCGTTTTGAAAATTTTAGTATTTATTTGGTGAAATAATTTAGAACCTACAAAATTTGGTATCATTTCAAATACTACTTTTTTGTTGTTTAAAAAACTAAGATTAAAAAACTATTTTTAATTTTATATAATCATATTAACAAAATTTGAAAATTTCAGTGACAAATGCAGTAAACATGATGATCAAATTTGAAGAACAACTTAACATGTTAGAATTGTTATCGAAAAAGCCAAGATTCAACAATATATGATAACATCTTCATTTGTTTAGGGTTTTCTAATTTGTAATGTCTTAAAAATATTTTCATACGAAAATGTTCTCCTTTTGAATGTCAGTCACGTATATATCTCTGAATTTTTAATGAGTAAAAAAGTTGAATATTTATTAATGTTTGTTATGTGTTTGGCAATTGAATTAAAAGCATCTAAAGTAGGTATAGCAAGTGAAATAGTGTTTGATAAATGGTATATAGGATTAGAAAAAAATGAATTTTAAATAATAAAAAACTGAGAAAAATTGAAAAAGTGACACCTAAGCAAAATGGTCTCTCAATGCTTCTTTTTTAATAAATAGAAAATATGCATTTGAGCTCTCTAGCTCAAATTAACGTGGAAGTTTATAAATTTATGAGAAATTGGGTTGTCTATAGAAATTGGGTTAGCTAGCAAAGATTTTTAACTAAATTCGCAAGCTAGCAAAAATCTTAGCAAACAACCTATTGTTTTACTAAATAATATTTTTCCCTAATTAACCATTTATTCTTTGTTATACAGGCAGCTAACTAGCCCTAAATTTATATACATTTTAGATATAATTTTAAAAATAAGTAAAAAAAAATGTACCTCTTTCCGTCGAAAGGGAAGCCTATGTGGTCACAAACAGACCGTAGAGCCTCCTTCCATTTGTTCACTTGGTCATCACCAACAATTTGCTTTTTTTTCCTCAACACATCACCGAACGCTCCTTCTTGATGTTTAACGGTCTTTGGCTCTACCATGTAGAAGATGGGAATAGTCACGAGTTTGCCTTCGTCCATGCGTTCTTTTATCTTAACTAGCTCGTTCAAACACCAATCTGACTTTGTGTACCCTTCGGAAAAGATTGCCAGTGCGATACTTGATTTCTCGATCTCCTTGAACAAGATATCTAGATGTTCGCCTTTTGCCGCATTGTCATCTATGAAGATCTTGATATTTTCATCTTCCAAGGCCTTAGCTAGGTGGCTGATGAACTTATGACGAATTTCTCCTCGGAAATTGAGGAACACTTGGTACGGGTATGGAGGTACACAGCTGACCACAGGGGAGGCAGCCATGGGAGAACGATTTTGCGTGGAAAACAAAATGATGTGGATTTTGTTGGATTGGTTGGAGTTGGAGATCGATAACATCGTGAAGACACCTAAAAAATGTTTGATATATTGACCAACTCCGATCATTTGAAAATTAGAATTTTCAAACTGTCTTTAATTAGTTCTTAACCAAATTGTCGGTGCGTGGATCGTATAAACCCATAGTAATAGATTCATATTAGGATCTTTGGACCAGCT